TTTTCTTTCTTCTAGAAGTTTTATGATGTTAAATTTTACATTTAGGTCCATGATCCGTTTTGAGTTAATTTTTTTTTTTTGAGTTGGAGTCTCACTCTGTCGCCCAGACTGGAGTGCAGTGGCCGCTTCCAGCCACCACAGCCTCGACCTGCTGGGCTCCAGCAATCCTTCCGCCTCAGCCTTCCAAGTAGCTGGAACTACAGGCGTGTGCTACCACGCCCGGCTAATTTTTGATTTATTGTAGAGATGAGGTCTCACCTGCCCAGGCGGGTCTCGAACCCCCGGGCTCAGGCAATCCACTCAACTCAGCCTCCCAAAGGCGCAGGATTACAGGCTGAGCCACCAAGCCCGGCTCATTTTGAGTTAATTTTTGTAGATGGTGCGAGATATGTATTGAAATTCACTTTTTGGCATATATGTATCCAAGTTGTTGAGAAATCTATCATTTTCAACTATCTTTTCTCTGCTAAATTACCTCTGGATCGTTGTCGAAAATCAGTTATCCATATACAGTATGGGTCTAGTATGGATTCTCTAGTCTATTTTATTAATTTGTCTATCTTTGTGCCAATACCAAAAGGTTGACAAAGTCTTGAAATCAGGTTGTGTTCTCTCTCCAACTTTGTTATTTTTCAGAGTTGATTTGGTTATTCTAAATCCTTTGCAGTTCCATTTGAATTTTAGAATCAGTTGAGACTATAGGTCAATCTTGGAAGAACAGAGATCTCAACATTACCGAGTCTACTGATTCATAAGCGTAGAGTAACTCTCCATTTATTACTCTTTTAAAATTTCCCTCAGCAATGTTTTGTTTCAGTACACATCTTTCACATCTTTTGTCAGATTTGTTTTTCAGTATTTAATATTTTGATGTTTTGTGATTGTCATGACTTTTGGCATTTTAAACTGATTATTGCTGATTTTATTTTATTTTATTTTTTTGAGTCAGAGTCTCACTCTGTCACCCAGACTGGAGTGCAGTGGCATGCTCACGGCCACTGCAACCTTGATCTGCTGGGTTCAGGTGATCCTTCCGCCTCAGCCTTTCAAGTAGCTGGAACTACAGGCAGGTGATACCATGCCTGGCTAATTATTTGATGTACTGTAGATACGAGGTCTTGCCAAGTTGCCCAGGCTGGCCTCGAACCCTTGGACTCAGGCAATCCTCTTGCCTCCACCTCCCAAAGTGCTAGGATTACAGGCATGAGCCACTGGGCCCGGCTGCTGATTTTATTTTAAATCTTGTTTGTCTGTTTTATTGAAGTATAAGTTTGTCAAGTGCAAAAATCTTAAGTATACAGCTCTATAAAATTTTACATCTGGAAGCCATCAAGATTTGTATTATTTCTTGCATCCAAGAAGGTTCCTTCATGCCCCTGACACCCCTCCACCCCCAGGAGACACCCACCCCCAAGGAGATCCCCTTCTGACACCTTTTCACCATGGTTTTTAAAAATCTTTGTATAAATGGAATCAATCGTGATGTACTCTGGCTTCTCTAACTCAACTTCTGTATATAAGGTTCATCTATATTGTTGTATGTAGTGGTAGTTTGTGCTTATTATTTTTTTGTGCGTGTGCACCTATAGTTCTGGCTACTTGGGAGGCTGAGGCAGAAGGATCACCAGAGCCCAGTGGGCCGATGCTGGGGTGACTGTGAGCATGCCACTGCACTCCAGCCTAGGCAATGGAGTGAGACCTCACTCAAAAAAAAAAATTTTTTTTTTTTTCAGTTGGAGTCTCACTCCATTGCTCAGGCTGGAGTATACAGTGGCATGCTCATGGCTCAACACAGCCCCGACCTCCTGGGCTCAGGTGATCTTCCTGCCACAGCTTCCCAAGTAGCTGGGACTACAGGTACGCACCACCATGTCCGCTGATTTGTTATGTAGAGAGGAGTTCACTATGTTGCCCGGGCTAGTCTTCAACTCCTGGGGTCAAGTAATCCTCCTGCTTCGGTCTCCCAAAGTGTTGAGATTACAGGCATAAACCACCATGCTCATCTTTACTAACTGTTATGTAATATTTTTGTTCTCTGAAAGGACATTTAGATGATTTCCAGTTTTTGGTAATGTGAATAATGCTGCCATAAATATTCTTGTACATTATTATACTCTTTTCTCTTGGGTATATGCCCAGTGGTAGAACTATTGATTAGTATAAAATATGTATGACTAGACTTGATATATAGTGTCACAGTCTTCCAAGTGATTAACCAATTTATACTCTCCTCAACAATATATGAAAGTTATAGTTGCCCTATATCCTTGCCAATGCTTGGTATTGGAAGTTCCTTTATTATTATTTTTTTATTTTAGATTCGGGGTTACACATTTGTATTTGTTACATGAACATATTGTATAGTGATGGGGATTGGATCTTAGGTGTCCCATTCCCCAGTGAACATTGTGTCCCATGGGTAGTTTCTGAATCCTAACCCCTTCCCCCTCCTCCCTTATTGGTGTCACCAGTGTCTGTTATTTCCATCTTTGTAACCGTTTAGCTCCCATATATGAGAACATGCAGTGTTTGGTTTTCTGTTTGTGAGTCAGGCGGAAGTTGCTTTAAATTAAGCCATTCTGGTAGGAGTTTTAGTATTTCGTTATGAGTTTACTGTCCCTGAAATAGCTATTGATATAGAACTTCTTTTCTTTTTTTTTTTTTGAGTTGGAGTCTCACTCTGTCGCCCAGACTGGAGTGCAGTGGCTGCTTCCGGCCACCGCAGCCTCTACCTGCTGGGTGCCGGTGATCCTTCCGCCTCAGCCTTCCAAGTAGCTGGAACTACAGGCGTGCGCTACCATGCCCAGCTAATTTTTGATTTATTGTAGAGATGAGGTCTCACCAAGTTGCCCAGGCAGGTCTTGAACCCGCGGGCTCAGGCAATCCACTCACCTCAGACTCCCAAAGGCCTGGGATTATAGGCTGAGCCACCGAGCCCGGCTAGAACTTCTTTTCATATGCGTATTGGCCATATGGATAACATTTGAAAATTAACCAGATAATTCATAGTAACATATTAAAGAAAAATTACATATGAACATTTCAATAAAGGCAGAAAAAGCATTTGATGTTGCATGCTTTCCTCCTGATGTTATGGACACACTAGTGGGGGGGGGGAGAAAAAAGGTATAAAGATGACAGAATTTAATTCATCTTATTCAGTTTGCAAAATTGTGATCATTGAAATTCAAAAAGAATCTACAACATATTAGAAATAATACAGAAACTTTAGCAAGATGGCTGAATATAAGGTCAATATGTAAAGATCAATAGCGTTTATAGCCTGCCTGCCTGCCTCCTTTCCTTCCCTTCCTTCCTTCTCTGTCACCCAAGTTGGAGTACAGTGGTACACTCAGTTCACTGCAGTCTCAAACTTCTGGGCTCAAGCGATCCCCTGCCTCACCCTCCCAAGTATCCAGGCCTCCAGGATCATGTCACTATAACCCAATTAAAAAAAAAAAAAAGTAGAGATGGGGTGGGTGCTGGTCTCATCTCCTGGCCTTAAGGAATCCTCCCACCTCACTCAAAGCCCTAGGAGTACAGGGGTGAGCCACTGCGTTTGGCCTGATGTTGTTTCTGTATACTTAAGACAAAAGATAATGTTAAAAAATTTTAATGCCATTGAACAACACATAAAAAACACCAGACCAGGCGCAGTAGCTCAATCCCATAATCCTAGCACTTTGGGAGGCCAAGGCGAGAGGACTGCCTGAGCCTGTGGGTTTGAGACCAGACTGTGGTGAGACCTCGTCTCTACAATAAATCAAAAAATTAGCTGGGCGTGGTAGTTTCGGCTACTTGGAAGGCTGAGGTGGAAGGATCGCTGGAGTTCAGTAGGTGGAGGCTACGATGGCCAGGAGCGTGCCACTGCACTCCAGCCTGGGCAACAGAGTGAGACTCCAACTCAAAAAAACACAAAACACAAAACCCCAAATACTCAAAAATAAATCTAATGAAAGATATGCATGACCTCTATACTGCAATCTACAGAACACTGCCAAAAAAAATTAAAGGACATTAAGTAAACGGCAGAGGGGGACCGATATTCAAGGACTGAAGGACCTGATTTCGTTATGATCACAGTTTTCCACAAACACCAATAGATCCAATGCAAGATCAATAAAAATCTCAGGGTTTTTTTTTTTAATTGACAAGCCAATTTCTAAATTTCATATAGAAACACAAAGGCCTTTGAATAGCCAAAACCATCTTGAAGAATAAAGTTACAGGACTTCGAGATTTATTACAAAGCTTCATTAATACAATGTGGCACTGGTGTCAGGTTAGACACACACCGCTCCCTCCAACCCCCCAATCTACCCCCATTCCCTAACTTGAAGGACGCTTTCCCTATCTGATCTGCTTGAGTCAAAGGGCGCTGGGGAAAGGCCTGGGTGGTGCGACTAAGTTGGAAAACAAAGCAGCACTGAAATAACTTCAGGCCACCTGCCTGCCTGTGTGCCTTTGGATAGAAAAGGGGTTTCTTTTCGGTCTGGGAAGCCAACGAGGAAGAAAGCACGGAGTGCGGAGTTCTGGGAAATGGAGCAGTACCCGGGCACCTCCCCGAGAACCAGATGGGTTTTTTTCCGCTCTAACCTTTGTAAGGGCAGAGCGACTTCCGGTGAGTCCCCGCCTGTTATGGTTCCCAGCGCTACCATCGCGGGCTCCAGGCGCCTTCCGGGACTCAGATCCCGGAAAAGGCAACGCGGCGCGAAAGACGTCACGGGCTACGAAAGGCGTGGCTGTCTGTGGCCGCCATGATGAAAACTACTCAAAATGGAGCTCGTTGCACTTTGCGTTATTAACATACATTAAAACACCCCTAATCGCCACACGTTCCTGAGGGATAACAGTACGTTCCAAACCTCTCTGGGGCTACTACCCCTGAAGGCTCTATGGGAGCGCTGGCGGGCGAGCGCGCGGTGAAGAGAGGGCGAACGCGTAGACGCAAGGCCTCGTAACCATGGCTGCGAGGGGCGGGGACTGGGAGCGCCGGTCGTGGGCTCCCGGGCTGGAGGGAATTTGGTCCTCCACCGTCCCAGCTGGCCTCGCGCTCGCTAGTCACCTCCCCTCCCCTTCCCCCCGCCCCACGATGCGTGGCTGTTCGTTGGCTACTTCAGACGGAAGCTCGGTTGGTGTTTCTCCAGAAGTTTCCCCCTCGGGCGGCGGCGGAGCAGAGTACCGCAGTTGTAGCAGCTCCGGCGGCAGCAACAGAAACTGTTAGGGATGGCAGCGGCTGCAGCTGGACCTGCAACAGCCCACAGGTGCGTGCTTTTTCTTCCTGCGCTGTTTGTTTAACCCGCTTTCCTTGGTTAGTGAACCCTGCTGAAGTCGTTGTTTTTTGGCAGGTTTTTCCAGAGCTTCTCAGATGCCCTGATCGACGAGGACCCCCAGGCGGCGTTAGAGGTGAGAGAGTCCATTTCTGCTTCTTCCACTCTCCTTGGGGGAACTGGGCCGCGTCGGGTTCTGGCTGACCCCGCCTCTTTCCAGCACCGTCTTGCTGGGACCGCGGCTCTTGTTTTTACTGTCTTGGATCCAGTATTGGGATTCTCGCTGTCCTTTCTCTGCCCCACTGTGGCCCAGTTACCCCTGTTCTTGCCCCTTCCACCCCCAGACTCTTGCATCCCTGCAGCTCTTGAGTAAAACCACCTCCTGTTTTATTTCTTGGGGGAATCGTTAGTTATTTCTTGAGGGCATCCATGGTTGACCTGAAATGATTTTTTTAAATTTCATTTATGATTAGAAGAAAAAATAACTTGGGCTTATTGAAGTTAACATGGGCTTTCCTTGGACGGTCATCCTTGCTTTGCCATTCTTATGTCCCAGGCGCTGTGTTAAGTCTGTATGAACTCAGTCTGCGGGAACAAGACCCTTTTCTGGATGTCCCTGAAACTTTCCAGTTGTCCTGTTACTGTTCGTTATTCACTCTTTGTTTATTCATCAAAAGAATTTTTGGAGTTGCTTTGTGCAAAGGTGCTGATTACCAGGGTTTAGAGTCTTACATACTTAAATAACTCAGAAAGCGCTTTTTGTAGGTATGCAATGCAGACAAACTATAAAGCTGCGAAGGAATATGAAAGAGTAAGAGTTAATAATAAGAGTTAAAATAAAGAGAGCTTAAGCTATACATGTTGCTATGGATTGCATAATTTATCCACGAGTTTCTTGCTCTCCAGTACAGAAAAGAGGAAACCCTGTTACATTTTATGATCTAACATAAGCAAGGGTAACAGTTTTGGGCAAGATGGCCTTCTTTTTTTTTATAGTTGGAGTCTCTCTCTGTCACCCATGCTGGAGTGCAGTGGCACACTCAGAGCCACGCCAGCCTCGACCTGCTGGGTTCCGGCGATCCTTCCGCCTCAGCCTTCCAAGTAGCCGGAGCTACAGGCGCCGCTACCAGCCCGGCTAATTTTTGATGTATTGTAGAGACGACTCGCCAAGTGACCGGGCTAGTCTCTAAACCGCGGGCTGAGGCATCCCACTTGCCTCAGCCTCCCAAAGTGTTGGAATTACAGGCTGAGCCACCGATACCAGCCCAAGAGGACCTTCTTCTAAAGCTATGACTAAGAAATTTGCCACAGTGTACCAATGCCTCTCTAAAGTGATGATATTTGAACTAGACCTGAAAGAACAAGGGAGTGAGCTTGGAAGCTTTGGGGAAAGAACATTCCAGGCAGGAAGAAGAGTCAGTGCAAAGATCCTGAGGTAAGAACGAATTTGGCCTGTACAGGGAGCAGCAAAAAAAGCCCATTTGGTTATAGTGGAGTGGAAGAGAAGTAGGAGATAAGACTGGGCAGGAAACCAGGACCTAGGCCCCGTGAGGCTTTTTAGGGTCCAGGTATGTTTTTTGGATCTGGACTTACAGGCCTTCAAATCATGTGAGGCTTCTGAGATCAGTATTTGAATAATGTTACAGGAAGCACTGATTTTTCTCTACAATTTCTTATATCAGCTGCTTAACTTTTAATTTTATGAATCTACATTTGTTTTGGTCCTGATAGGCCCAGTACTTCCTTTGGAATTTCAGTATATATAAAAGTGGCTTTTATTTTTTATTTATTTATTTTTTTGAGTTGGAGTCTCACTCTGTCAGCCAGACTGGAGTGCAGTGGCTGCTCTCGGCCACCGCAGCCTCGACCTGCTGGGCTCCAGCGATCCTTCCACCTCAGCCTTCCAAGTAGTGAACTACAGGTGTGCGCTACCTTGCCTGGCTTATTTTTTGATATATTGTAGAGACAAGGTCTCACCAAGTTGCCCAGGCTGGTGTTGAACCTACGGGCTCAGGCAGTCCTCTCACCTCAGCCTCCCAAAGCTCTGGGATTACAGACTGAGCCACCGAGCCCTGGCTATAAAAGTGGCTTTTAAAGGATGCTAATGAGGTGCGCGGTAGCTCAAGCCTGTAATCCCAGCACTTTGGGAGGCCAGGGTGAGCTCAGGGGTGGGAGACCAGCCTGGGCAACTTGGCAAGACCTCGTCTCTATAGTAAATTTAAAAAATAAGCCAGGCATGGTAGCACGTGCCTGTGGTTCCAGCTACTTGGATGGCCGAGGTGGAAGGATTGCCTGAGCCCAGCAGGTCAATCCTGCAGTGGCTGTGAGAGTGCCACTGCATCCAGCCTGGGCGACAGAGTGAGACTCCTACTAAAAAAAAAAATTAAAAAGAAAAAAGGGGTGTTAATGTAATGACTTTCTTTGTGACTTTCCATCTTGGTTATTTTACTTTAAAAATTTTGATTGAGATATGTATGTAAACAACACAAGTGTTAGGTCTACAACCTGATGAGTTTTTATATATTTGCCCACCATCAGATCAGGGTGTAGAGCATTTCCATCCACAAGACTCTGTCATGCTCCTTCCCAGCCAATGATTCCCGTGACTTACTGCTGACCCCTATTTTAACCTCCATCACTGTCACTTAGTTTTGCTTGTTCTTGCATTCACAAATAGAATCATACAGTAGGTGCTTTGTTGAGTGTTGTTTTAATCATTATGTGAGTTTGCATCATGTTGTGTAAAGCAGTATGTAGATCTTTTTCATTGTACAGTATTAGGCTGATACATACGTTCTTAGTGTTTTTGGCTTGCTCATGGAATTCAAGTATTGCCCCATGGTTAATTGGTCACAGTTCATCACGTTTGCCAATTCTCAGGTTGACTGACATGGATCAACATGGATTAAAGCCTTTAAACAGTCTTCATCAAAGCTGGATAGTCTTCCTGAGCATGGAGAATCACTTTCAGATCAAAGTGGCCCGCTTAGAAATGACAAATCATTTTCTTGCCATGCTTTCCTCGATGGCATTCTCCTGGTACATGGCACAGATATTTTAAGCTGCCTCCACTGCCTTTACTCTTTTGTTAAACAGAAGAATATGTCAGAAGTGTTTGTTTTTTTCCCACTTGACACTCCATCTTCTTTAGCCCACAAATAGCACTAACTTTCTTCGTATCTGCACAATGCAAGACATATGCACAACCGCAGCGTTGTCACTCTAAATGACAAATGCCCAGCACCACAGTGTTGCCACAGCAGACAAACTTATGCATCAACCTAATAGGTCATTGTATAAATATTGTGTAATTGTATAAATATATATAGTATAAGTATAGTGCAATTTATTGTAACAATGAGCATTTGAGCTATGGCTAGTTGTTAGCTAGTATGAATAAAGCTACTGTTAATACTCTTGTAAATGTAATTTGGTGAACACATACATTCCTACCTTTTGGTTGTATATACCTAGGAGTAGAATTCCTAGACTGAGCATGCGGTTAGCCTGAGTACCTTTGTTAATGTGTGGCCCTCGGACCAGCCGTATCGTCATCACTTGGCAAAACATTAGAAGTGCAAATTCTTGCTGAAAGTCTTTAACAATTCATGTAGTCCATTCTTTCCCTTTCTTTTTACAGTGTACCGAAGAAAACAGATCCAAAAAATCCAAATGATCTGTCAATGAGATGTATACAGTCAATTAGAGGCAGAATGGGGGCCTCAGAACACAGGTTTCATGACTTTTAGTCTAGTAATGTAGAAAAAACAGTTGTCCTCAGAAGTGTGGTCTCCAGACCAGCTACAGCGTCAACATGTTAGAAGTACACATTTGTTAGGACCTACCATAGACCTGGAAACAGAAACTCTGGATTTGGCGAGGATCATGATAAGAACCAGCTGTGTTAAGAGGAAACGTTCTTTTTTTTTTGAGTTGGAATCTCACTCTGTTGCCCAGGCTGGAGTGCAGTGGCACGCTTATGGCCACAACCTGCTGGGCTTAGGTGATCCTTCTGCCTGCGCTTTCCAAGTAGCTGGCACTACAGGCACATGCCACCACACCCAGCTAATGTTTTTGATTTATTGTAGAGATGAGGTTTCATCAAGTTGCCCAGGCTGGTCTTGAACCTATGGGCTCAGGCAATCTTCTTACCTTGGCCTTCCAAAATGCTGGGATTATAGGTGTGAGCCATCATTCCTGGCCGGAAATGTTTTGTTTTGTTTTTTTGAGTGGGAGTCTCACTCTGTTGCCCAGGCTGGGAGTGCAGTGGCGTGCTCATGGCTACTGCAGCCTCAACCTGCTGGGTTTAGGTAATCCTTCTGCCTCAGCCTTCCAAATAGCTGGAACTACAGGCACGAGCCACCACGCCCAGCTAATTTTTTGATTTGTTGTAGAGATGAAGTCTGGTTGAGTTGCTCAGGCTGGTCTTGAACCCATGGACTCAGGCATTCCTCTCACCTCAGCCTCCCAGAGTGCTAGGATCATAGGCGTGAGCTACCACACCCAGCCAGAATGTTCTTTTTAAACCTTGAATGACTTCCTCACAAAGATGAGCAGGTAAATAATTGAATAATTGGCAGTGATAAGGAGGGATGAAACGTTGATGAAGGTTGTGAGTATATTTCTCCCTGCCCCCAGATTTTTTTTCAAAGGCTACTTTAATAACAGCCATTTTGGAATTCAGGTGACTTGAGATGTTAGTTAAAATATATACAGTTTATATAAGATAATTCAATTAGAAATAATGGGGAAATTTTGTATCACATAAGCTGTTTCACATTTTTCATTCATTTAACAAATAATGGGCATTAGTGGTAAATGCTGAACTGGGAATTAGGAATCTAAAGATGAAGAGACTGCAGTGAGGGAGTTTGTAGTCTAGTGTAAAAACAGATAAGTTAACTGATCACTAAAATATAATTACTGTAATGGAGTTGTGTATGAAAGAGTGTAGCCAAATAGAAGCTGACTGATTGAGTGAAAATAAAGAAAACTTTACAGAGGAGGTTGCAGTTCAGTTGGGAGAGAAGACACGTTCATCTTGAGAATCTTTTGAGACCTAGTATGCATGGTGATTAAGAGCCCAGGTTCTGGAGTCAGAGCTTGAGTTGAAATCCTGGTTTCTTTCTTTTTTTTTTTTTTTTTGAGTTGGAGTCTCACTCTGTCACCCAGACTGGAGTGCAGTGGCATGCTCTCGGCCACCGCAGCCTCAACCTACTGGGCTCCGGCGATCCTTCTGCCTCAGCCTTCCAAGTAGCTGGAACTACAGGCCCGCTCTTCCACGCCCGGCTAGTTTTTGATTTATTACGGAGATGAGGTCTCGCCAAGTTGCCCAGGCGGGTCTCGAACCTGTGGGCTCAGGCAATCCACTCCCAAAGGCGCGGGATTACAGGCTGAGCCACAGAGCCTGGCTCAAATCCTGGTTTCATGGTAACTGTGTAACCTCATTCAAGTTCCGGTCGTCATTCTAGATTTCTCATCTGTAAAATGGGAATAAATAGGACACATTTGTAAGGATTATTTTAAAGATAAATTAAGTATTCTGTATTATGTGCTTAATACAGTATCCAGCACATGGTAAGGACTCTGTAACTTCTGTTTTGGGGACAAATATAGGTTGTTGGTAGTGTTAGATCATAAAATGTGAGGAGATAAAGGCTAAACAAATAGAGACCAGGACTTCAAAGACATTAAATTGTAGCTTAAGGCTTTCAGTTATATCATGGAGCACTCTGAAGAATCTGGAGGTAGGAAATGACATTTTTCTGTATTACAAAACCTACTCTGTAAGCAGAGTAGACAATGGATTGGAGAAGGCACAAAGGATAATGGATAGCAGGAAGGTGTTGTAGACCAGGTAAAAGACAAATATCTGACTCTTAACAATTGGGACATAAGGGATGGCTCCTGTGTTTCTGATATGGGAAATGTAATGGAAGTTGATACCATTTTCTAAGATAGCACTTAGGATGAGTGAACAACAGTATCGAGGAGAGGAAATGGTTTTACATTTTGAATATTGTATATGGTTGTCTCTGGGGCATTTCAGGTGAAGTCGAGAGAAAACTAGCCATCTGCTGATGTTACTCAGGAGCGATGTCTATATAGATTGGAGTCATCAGTGATGCCCCCAACACTTAAGAAATCAAAGAATGATGCTAGAAGGGAAGAAAGAAGTCTATGGACTGAGCTTAGGGAAAACGCTGGCTTTCACAAGGCCAGCAGAATAGTAAATCTAAAGGCCTGGTCATTATTGTCAGGAGCCACAGAGAAATCAAGTCATATAGTAATCAGTTTTGATTTCTTTTTTTTTAATTTGAGTCAGAGTTTCTCTCTTACCCAGGCTGCAGTGCAGTGGTATGATCATGGCTACCGCAGTCTCGACCTGCTGTACTCCGGCGATCCTTTTACCTCAGCCTTCCAAGTAGCTGGGACCACAGGCACGTGCCACCAGCCTGGATATATTTTGATTTATTGTGGAGGCGAGACCTCACAAAGTTGTCCAGGCTGGTCTCTAATCCCTGGGCTCAGGCAATCTTGCCTCTACCTCCCAAAGTGCTGGGATTACAAGTGTGAGCCTCCATGCTGGCCAGTTTTGAATGTGATAACAAGGGGATCACCAGTGACTGAGAAGATTAAAACTAGAGAGGTAAATATTTATTTTTATTTTTTGGAGTCAGAGTCTCACTCTCACTCAGGCTGGAGTGTAGTGGCATGCTCACCACAACCTCGACCTGCTGGTCTCAACCTGCTGGTCTCAGGCGATCTTTCCTTCCCAGCCTTCCAAGTAGCAGGAACTACAGGCGTGTGCCACCACACCTGCCTAGTTTTTTGTGATTTATTGTAAAGACAATAAATCTCTCACTGGCTTGTCTGGCTGGTCTCGAATCTCTGGGCTCGGGCAGTCCTGTTGCCTCAGTCTCCCAAAGTGCTGGGATTACAGGCGTGAACCACCAACCCGACAATTGTTTTTATATTTTGTAGCAAAAGAGGATGAGGTCAAGGTAGAGAATATGGAAAAGATTGGGGAAAGTCTGCAAGGAGAGAACCTTTCACTGAGTGCTATTGCTTACTGAGTGCCAGGTGAGGATCTAGGCAAGCCCCAAACCCTGGAGTCTTCTTTAATTTCTCTTACCCCCATATTTAAGCCATTAGCAAGTCCTGTTGGTTCTAATATATTCCACCTCATTGTGCTTTTCTTCTTCATCTCTTTGTCTGCAACCTACTCCTATCCTGGACTTAATATAGCTGTTTCCTAAGAAGTCTCTCTGTTACCAGTTCTCATTTGTTATAGTGTATTTGTCATACAGTGGCCAGAGTGAGGTTTTAAAATGTGGTTGAGACCCGTGTCTCTCTCCTAAACATGAACCTTCCATGGTTTTGCATCACACATAAAGTCCAAACTTTTTATAACAACCTGCAAGGTACAAAGTGAGGCCCTTGAGGTAGCATCTTGTACCTCTTTGATCTCTAGGTTCGAGCCACACTGACTTTCTTTCTGTTGCTTGATTGCACGTAACCTCGTTGTAAGTTGAGGAGCATCTGTGTACATTGTGAGACTCACACAAAAAAACTAGATTAAAGCAAAATTAGTGACGTGTGGCTATTGAAATAATTTTATCTTTAAAGAAAACTACCAGCTTTTTGAGGAAGACGCAGGTGTGGGCACTGTGGAGCTGTGGTCCACCTGCTTCTGCTTCTGACTCACTGCTGTTCGCTGTCTCTGAGGAACAAGTTGGTCAGGAAGCCGTGCCATAGCAGTGGCTTTAAAAGACACTGGCAAAGCACCTGTGGAACCAGAGGTGGCAACACACTGAATTCGAATTACCCTAACTAGCCACAGTGTAAAATCTCTGGAGAAAGAGTGTGCTGACCTGATCAGAGGCACGAAGTAAAGTAATCTCAGAGTTACTAAGGACTGGTTCGCAAGCTTGCCAAGACTTTGAGAATCACTACAAGAAAAACTCCTGTGGTTAGGATTATAAGACATGGGATCTCTTCCGTGTCTTATAATCTGTAAGACATGGGATCTCTTCTATGTCTTTTAAAATCCACAAGTAACTCGTTGACTTGCACAGTCCTTCTGAGATTGTCCAGCAGATTACTTCCATCAGTATTGAGCTAGAAGTTGAAGTCACCATTGCTGATGTTTAAGTCAGCTATTTTAATAAATTGATTACCACTTGTTAAAAAATATATATTATTCAAATCCCTAAGAATATGGGTAGTGGGCAGAGAATCAATGTGCTCTGTTTGCCCGCACTTTTCCTTGATCTCACTAATAATGCCACTTGCATTATTATTTTTCCAGCTATCACCAATGTACTGTGACTACACAGGATAGAAAAGTTTTGATTTCTCTAATGTTAACTCTTGATCAATGGATATCTGTAAGAGTGTGTCAGGGCTTTGAACAGAATGTTTAATATGTTAGCATTGTGTGCTGTTGACAGAGAATAGGAGAGAGCCAGGTAAGCTTGATTGGGTATTTATTTACTTAATTATTTTTTTGAGTCAGAATCTCACTCTGTCACTACTGCAGCCTCGACCTTGGGCTCAGGCAATTCTTCCACCTCAGTCTTCCAAGTAGCTGGGACTACAGGCACGTGCCACCACCCCCGGCTGATTTTTTTGTTTAATTGTAGAGATGAGGTCTTGCCATGTTGTTCAGACTGGACTCGAACTCCTGGGCTCAGGTAGTCCTCTTGCATTGGCCTTCCAAAGAGCTGGGATTACAGGTGTAAGCCACTATACCCAGCCTTGATTGTGTATTTATTGATTCTGTTAACCTCTCTGAGCTCTAGATGTAACTTCCAGTTTTGGGGTGTGTGTGTGGATGTGTGTGTGTGTGTTCATTGAGCAGCTTCAAATTTTCTATTTTTTTTGAGTTTGGGGTGTGTGTGTGTGTGTGTGTGTGTGTGTGTGTGTGTGTGTGTTCATTGAGCAGCTTCAAATTTTCTTTTTTTTTGAGTTGGAGTCTCACTCTGTACCCAGACTGGAGTGCAGTGGCATGCTCTCGGCCACTGCAGCCTCAACCTGCCTGGCTCAGGTGATCCTTCCGCCTCAGCCTTCCAAGTAGCTGGAACTACAGGTGCGTGCTTCCACACCTGGCTAATTTTTGATTTATTGTAGAGATGAGGTCTCGCTAAGTTGCCCAGGTGGGTCTCGAACCCGCAGGCTCAGGCAGTCCGCTCACCTCAGCCTCCCAAAGCACGGGATTACAGGCTGAGCCACCGAGCCTGGCTCAAATTTTCTTGTCATTTAAAATTCTACATGATCTTTGAGTCTTCTTCAAATTAAAAGGAAAAAATCTGTATGGTTAATATATATCAACTAAATGCCTCAGAATATGAGGTGATAATAATTACCATATATTGAGCTCCTACTATAGACTAGGAACTGCTAGGTGCTTTACAGTACACAGATATTACATTAGATTTTCTGCTTTTCTGGTGGGGGAGGAGAAGGGGAGATATTTATTCTTATAACAAAACTTCCAAGTTTGTTTTCCTGTTATCTTTCCTCCAAATGTCTTTTGATAATAGGCTATTTGTTTGTTATATTTTAATTAGAATTTGATGACTTTTAAAAAACATTTACTGACAGTCAACATGTTTGTATTTGTAGGAACTGACTAAGGCTTTGGAGCAGAAACCAGAGGATGCACAATATTTTTGTCAAAGAGCTTATTGTCACATTCTTCTTGGGAATTACTGCGGTAACCTTCTTATAAAGTATATTGTCCTTTTTTAGAAGTTATTTACAAATATTACCCAGTAAAAATTAATCATATAAAATAGAGCTTATCTTTGAGGAATTTTAAGTTGGTTTTTCATGCAAGGTTAAGTTATTGAAGTGTGACAAATAACATGTTAAGTAGCACCTATTTAAATTTTGTGTATGTCTCTTTAGTGGGTTGGAAAATGTGTACAGATTTCATTCATAGTTCTTGGATTTGCTGATGAAGAAAACATGGCATTTACTGTTTGACAGAACATTTATTTTTATTAAAAAATGTATAGCTTCAAAATTATTCTGATCAAGAATCTGGGTGGGGAAAAACTCAATACCTTCAGTCAGATGAGTGATGCTAATGAGAAAAGGAATTATCAAAAATTTAAAATTTGTGACACAGGGCTTTATTCGTTGACTGAAGAACTTTAAGAAGGGTGCTAAATACTAGGCCAAAAGGAAGGTATGAGGGTGATACTTATTTGAATTATATCTTGGATTAATTTTTTCTAAATTAAAATCATTTGACCTTTTTACTAACTCAAAAACTTAAAAATCTAAAGCTGATTCATGTTTTGTGTGTAGTATTTGCTAGGTTCTGTAAATCACTGACTTTTAAGAAGCCTGTTTCTTTCTTTACAGATGCCGTTGCTGATGTAAGGAAGTCTCTCAAACTCAATCCAAATAATTCCACTGCTATACTGAGAAAAGGGTATGCAATAACTGTTGTTGAGCTTGGACTGTAGATACTAGGTGTTTAATTTGTTGACTGAGTTCTTCATAAGCATTATATAAGTTGTAAAATTTTGTATATATTCATTTGATAACTGAGATATGATTTAGTTCTTCCTTCAGTGGGATGGAGAACATGTATAGATTTCATTCATAGTTCTTGGATATACCGATAAAGAAAAACATCACATTTACTGTTTGACAGAGTATTTATTTCTTTTTATAAAAAAGCAATATTGCTGGGCATGGTGGCTCATGCCTATAATCCCAGCACTTTGGCAGGCCTAGTTGAGAGGATTGCCTGAGCTCATTGGTTTGAGACCAGCCTGGGCAACTTGGCGAGACCTCATCTCTATAATAAATCAAAAACTAGCTGGGCATGGGGGCACATGCCTGTATTTCCAGGTGCTTGGAAGGCTGAGGCGGAAGAATTGCCTGAGCCCAGCAGGTTGAGTCTTGTGATGGCCGTGAGCATGCCACTGCACTCCAGCCTGGGTGACAGAGTGAGACTCCAACTAAAAAAAAAAAAATGTACTGTGTAACTTTAAAAAATTATTCTGATCAAGAATTTGGGTAGGGAAAAACTCAATACTTTATAGTTTTATTATTATGTTAACTGTAGTGTATGATAGGAGATCTGTAGTTAGTGTGTTTTAAAATAGTGATGATTGAAGTAACTGCAAGGTATAGATGGAACTGGTAGATTTCACATCCCTTTTTATTCATTGTTTGGAATTTACTGTATTTGACTAGAGACGATCCTATTTTTCAACCATGCTAAATAGGCTATGTTTAATGCTATGAAAGCTTTATTATATCTATACCTTATATCCTAGCTTATTTCCGTTGCTGAGTGTGACTTTATTTAAGTAAGAAACTTCTACAGTTCCTTTATATAATTATATTTTGGAATAAGCTATGTCCAATTAAAATCAAATTCCTTCTGAAGTGAGTTCCAAAATTGAATTTTAGTGTACTAGATGTTACAGTGTTTTAGAAAATCTCTTGACTTGTTAGCGTATACTTAAGATATATAGTTTTCAACAACAGGAAATACTAAGATTTTTTTATTTAGCCAAGTGAGTATGTGTATTTTTGGTAATTGTACTTCTAGTGACTATACAATTTGAAATACTATTTTTATCAGGCTGTATTTAAAAAATAAAATTTTTTTTTATTTAGAAAGAAGACTGTTTTCCATTATCTTTTTGTGTGTTAATTTTTTAAATATGTTCATGCAGAATTTGTGAATACCATGAAAAAAACTATGCTGCTGCTCTAGAAACGTTTACAGAAGGACAAAGATTAGATAGTAAGTATTAGAATTATACTTTAATAAACTAATCTGTTTTTGTCTCTTAACTACCATAGCTGAATTTTTAAAATGTTAATCTAAAGTTAATTATGGAAACCCAACACCTTTTTTTCCTCATCTTAATGACATTTCCTATTGATTGCAAAATTTATGGTCACTTACGAATGGATTAAATTTGCCTTTTTTTTTTTTGAAAGCATTTAAATCACAGGTAAACTTACCTGTTAGAAGCCATAAACTATATATAAACACTCATCATGCTCTCTTAACTAAGTCTGGCTGTATTTTTTTCTAATGGAGAAGTGAAAGTTTAATTTGCTTTCTTGTTCAGAAGTCTATTTTAAGTTATTATTCAGTTGCTGAGATGGAATATCTTACAACAGTCTTCAGAAAAGTGAAGTACAAGTTTGGATAGATTATGACAGGGTACAGAAGAAACATAGAGCTTTGAGTGTATTAGGAGTTTTTGTATTATGAGTGTATCTTTTTGAGAGGAATATATGGAAATGGATTTTTAGACACCTATACAGAAATTGTGAGAGCCAAGAATTTTAAAATGTGCAACAGTCCAGGACAAGTGAGAGCTGAGTGGGCACTGAGTGACTCTGTGCCTCGCTAAGGAAAAATGACTGAACTTGAGCAAAGGAGATTCTGAGAAGCCATGAGGCAAGATGTCATCATATGTATCCTTTTGCAAACTTATTGGGAGGAGCCCAAGAAGCAGCACCTAGGTGCTTCAGTCACCTTCTCAGAGTTTTGTAAAAAGTGCTCAGAGGAGTGGAAGACCATGTCTGCTAAAGAGAACAGAAAATGTGGACAGAACCCATTCTAAAAGAGAATTGAAAACCTGTATCCCTTCTAAATGGGAAACTAAAGAAGTTCAGGAATCCCAGTGCACCCAAGAGACCTTCTTTGGCTTTTTGTTGTTGTTGTTGTTCTGTTCTTAGCATTGCCCAAAAGTCAAAGGAGAACATCTGGCCTATGCATTGGTAATGTTGCAAAGAAACTGGGAGAGATGTGGGGTGACACTGCTGCAGATGACAAGCAGCCTTATGAAAAGAAGACTGTGAAGCTGAAGGAAAAACAAAAAAGGGATATTGCTGCTTACTGAGCTAAAGGAAAGTCTGATGCAGCAAAAAAGGTAGTCTTCAAGGCTGAAAAAAAGCCAGAAAAGGGCCAGGTGCAGTGTCTCATGCCTATAGTCTCAGCACTTTGGGAGGCTGAGGTGAGAGGATTGCCTGAGCCTGTGGGTTAGAGACCAGTCTGGGCAACTTGGCGAGATCTCATTTTTACAATAAATTAAAAAAAATTAGTCGGCTTCTTGGCGCGTGCCAGCTACTTGGGAGACTGAGGTGGAAGGATTACCTGAGCTCAGCAGGTCGAGGCTGCGGTGGCCATGAGCGTGCCAAAAAAAAAAAAAAAAAAACCAAGAAAAAAGGATAAGGAGGAAGATGAAAAAGATGATGAAGATGGTGATGAATAAGTTGATTGTAGTACAGTTTTTTCTTGTCTATAAAGCATTTCATCTCTTTGTATGGCAGCTCACTGCTTTTAATAAAAAGTGAAATGTAAAGCTGTGAAAGATTGTTTTTCCAACTGTTCAATGTCTTTTTTTTTTTTTTTTTAGCATAGTTAACACACTACTGAATGTGTCTTTAGATAGCTCTGTCCTGGTGTTATTTTCAGTACCTACTAGCCTTGCCTGGTACAGTATGGGGGTTGTAATTTGGCATGGAAATTTTTTTTTTTTGAGTTGGAGTCTTACTCTGTTACTCAGCCTGGAGTGCAGTGGCACACTCATGGTCACCTCAGCATCAACCTTTGGGCTTCAGTGATCCTTCTGCCTCTGCCTTCCAAGTAACTGGAACTACAGAAGTGCACTACCATGCCTGGCTAATTTTTTATTTTTTATTTATTGTAGAGACGAGGTCAAGTTGCCTGAGGCAATACACTCGCCTCGATCTCCCAAAGTGCTGGGTTTACAGGTTGAGCCACTGAGTCCAGCCTGGCATGGAAATTTAAAGCAGGTTTTTACTGGTGCACAGCACAAATTAGTTACATATGGGGATGGTAGTTTATCTTCATTTGTCTCTGATGTAGCTTGTACAAAATAATTGTCCTGTTAACTGAATACCACTCTGTAATTGTAGAAAAGAAGTGGTAGCTGTTTTGTAGACGTTTTGAATGCTTCTAAGTAAATACAGTCTTTTTAAATTAAAAATATCTACAGGCCAGGTGCGGTGGCTCAAGCCTGTAATACCAGCACTTTGGTAGGCTGAGGTGAGAGAATTGCCTGAGCCTACGGGTTTGAGACTAGCCTGGGCAACTTCAAGAGACCTCATCTCTACGATAAATTTAAAAATTAGCTGGGCGTGGTAGCGCATGCCTGTCGTTCCAGCTACTTGGAAGACTGAGGCGGAAGGATTGCCTGAGCCCAGCATGTCAAGACTGTGGTGGCCGTGAGCATTCCACTGCACTCCAACCTGGGTGCCAGAGTGAGACTCCAACTCAAAAAAAAAACAAAAAACCTACAAAATACCAAAAGAGGGTGAGTAATGTCATATAAAGTTGTAGACTACGTATTCTACTTGTGCTATCATTTTGTCTTTATGTTACTGTAGAGTTTTATCACAATTCTCTGCAGCAGGGGTTCTTAACTGGGAATGATTCTGCTTCCCAGGAGTCAGTATCTGAAGAGATTTTTTGATTGTCATGACTGGTGAATGGAGGATGTGCTACTGACATTTAATGATAGAGGCCACAGCTGCTATGAAACATTCACAGGACAGTCTCCCATAACAGAGAAGTATCTGGTCTAAAATTTCTTTTTTTTTTTTTTTTTTTTTTGAGTTGGAGTCTCAGTCTGTCACCCAGACTGGAGTGCAGTGGCCGCTCCTGGCCACCACAGCCTCAACCTGCTGGGCTCTGGCGATCCTTCCCTGCC